CCTACGGGTAATTCCCGCGGGGGACGCATGCCACTTGGGTCGGGTAATCCCGGGCGTTCCCGGTACCCCCTTCGCGAGTCCCCCTTACTGCTGCTTAACTACTTCTTTGATGCCATGCATGTGAGCACCAAAATCAATCTGTTTTCTATTCCAGAAAGCAATCTGTACTGACCGGAATAGATTTTCTAAGTCATATATATAAATGTGCCGGTAAACTGAAATGGGAGCGTCTTACCACTAGAGGAAATGTAATCTACGAGCCACACGGATTCTCCTCTGAAATAAAAAGTGGAAAGTTGGTTTCATGCCTTTATGCACTTTTCATGTTAAAGTATAGCCCTAACTCCTGATATATACTTTACTTTCAGTATTGATTATTATGGAGTTGCGGTCTTCAAAATTATGTAGGTGTAGACTTTCAATATGTTAATGACTGTTAGGTCAAAAAGTAGCTAAAAAGTATCAACATCATCATCATCATTATGCTCATGATTTCCACAACCATTAATGTAATGTTAGTGTTCTTATAAATTAAATGGCCAGTGTTTAGTACACTATCACAAATAAAACAAATTCATAAATAACTGCTATGACGTCGCAGTCATTAACACACTTTTTACTATGAATGGCACTGACTTTCCTCATTTGTTTAAATGAACGATTGGAAAACCAACCTTTTTCGCTTGAGGTACACGTATGCAACTATCACAATCACTATGACAACAATGATCACCAGGGTAACCACGACACCAACAACCGTCGACGAACCTCCACTTCTTTTCGCATCATAATTTGGTTTCGCTGTAACCTGAAATTAAAAAGATCAGTGTTCGTAACTATAGCTCTATAAACTTTTCGTTTAATGCACCGGTCATGTTAAGTGATCCATAGTCCATTACTTACATTTGGAGCTAATGTTGTGGCGGTTGCTGGTATTACAACAGAAACGTTTGTTATAGGTATTGCAGAACTTGGACTTGTTATAATAGAGGTGGCGTTTTCAGCACCTAAAGCC